TTTTTTTTTTTTTTAAACTGAAACCTGGGCATTTTGGTACTATGAGACTTCTCGATCTTAATTTCCGGCTTCTTCTGACAGTGGCTAGCAGGAGAAGAGTTTAACCTGCCCTGTTCCTTGTTACTTCCAGGTGGGAGCGGAAGACCATTTCCCCACTTGGTCTCCACGAGCACTTGAGGAAAGAAGGTCTTGTTCCCACTGGGCAGTTTGGGAGACCAGTTCCCCCTAGACCTGTACCCGCACAACCCCGGCTGGAAAGGGCAAGAGTGCCTTGGTACTTCTCCCTCCCTAGCCTCTCCTGACACTTTGGAAGACGCAAGCCTCATTACCACCCAGCTGGGAAAAGTCTCAGCTCCTCACAGTTCCGGCCGGGGCACCTCATTACAGCCTGATGAGGGTGGCAGGCTAGGCTCCCACTCAGTCTTCGCTGGGTGGGGCAGTCTGGACTGGTGTTTGGCTGATGTAGTACGGTTAGTACCTAAAAGCTTTCAGTTTTGCTAGAGAGATGGTGTTCTTGGTCTTCTGGCTGGACAAAGAAGGCTTTTGTCGGGGCTTTTCCTGTCGGTGCCCATCAGCATTTCTGGGTTGCCAGCTTCTTTAGCTCCAAGTCTGGCATAGATGAGGGGAAAAGAAAATCCAGGGGACTCGCCACCATGTTGTTTCTCAAGTCCCAAGTTCCATTGTCAGTCTCCTGTTTTCTATCTTTCAGAGTCTTTGTATGTTGTCTTTTATGTAATTTCCAGGGTGACAGTTGTACTTAGAAGAACAGGGAAAGGCACATGTACTCCATTTTTCTAGAAGCAGGAGCTCCCAATAGCGGTTTAACGAATGGAGTTGATTTGGGGGAGCCTGGTCTTGTTTTCTGCTCCATAAATGCTATTTGTGGCAATAAACAAAATTCCATGTCCCTTCCCTCAAAGAAACTGCATTCTGGTGAGAAAACATAAATTCTTCAATTAGTCCACAAACATTTTCATTTGGAAATATCTTGATACATAGAGAAAAGGTCAGGGTAAGATACTGAAGATAGTGTGCATCCCATCTGGAAGTAGATTCTAGACCAGCTAATTGTTTAGTTCAGGCATGTGCCCTTGATTCTGCTGTACCTAGGCAGATCTGGGTTTGGATATCATAAACAGGTGATCAATCTCTCAGCAAGCCTGGCAGCAGTAGTGACATTTGGTCTTTCAGGAGAGACCAAACAGAAAAGGTCTGACATTGAGTCACAGAAGTGAAGGGTTCTTTTTCACTGGGTGGTGCCAGGTCAGCCAAAGAAGATCCACTTGTGGTTGGATATGGTTTCTTTTTTAATTAATTTTTTAATGTTTACTTATTTTTGAGAGAGAGACAGACAGACAGAGTGTGAGCAGAGAGAGAGGGAGACACAGAATCCGAGGCAGGCTCCAGGCTCTGAGCTGTCAGCACGGAGCCCGACGTGAGGCTCAAACCCACTGTGACCTCACGACCTGAGTCGAAGTCAGACACTTAACCGACTGAGCCACCCAGGCGCCCCTGGGTACTGTCTCTACATGTAGAACTTCAGAGTCTGGCACACAGGTCTCCTCGAAGAGTCTATGGTACACATGATACCTTTCAATAAATCTCTCATTTGTTTAAACTGAGAAGATTTTTCTTTTCCTTTGGTGAAACTAAGAATTACTAAATCCACTTGGCTAGTTTAAGGAGAACAGGGGGGAAAAAAAAAAACACTTGTAATTTATACTGTAATTTCACGATGTACGGATCCTGAATGAACTAAAGCCCAAAGTAAAAAGGGAAGAATTTCCATTTCATTCTTGTACCTGTTCCTGAGGTGGGGATCGAAATTCCTTTGTCTTCCTGGCAGTGAGCGCGGCCGACATGTTTAAAGCTTGCATAACTTCATTGTAACGGAAGCGCTGATTGTCTTGGAGCTTGGCTACAAAGTCATCTGAAAAGGCCACGATGGCTTCTATCCGGTGTCGGACCTGGCAGTCACAGAGGTACTGGAGCAGCAGACACATCTAAAAAGATGATGAACAAGACATCAGGGGTGAATTCAGGAATCTTAAGTAGTTAATGTGTACCTGTGGCAGACACGCTTAGTATCAACTCTTCTATGAATAGAATTCTGATTCTGTGTAGGCAGCACTGTGCTTGGTCCCAGGGGATAAAACCTACAATTTTTCTAAGCTTAAAAGGGTAAATGCATGCCCCGTTGGTGGACACTTACTGCCCTAGCCTCCTTGGCAGCTACCGGGGCTATGGCAAATGAGATATATAAGGCGAACTCAGTGAGGAGTCTCGTGGGAAAGATTTCACACCAATAATAACAGACTAGAACACTCTCTTTTCAAACTGGGTTTAACTGGGTAATGAGTGACATGACTGTTTCACTTTAGGATGAAAACCGAAGACTAAGGAGCACAGGAAAATATTAAGAGCTGGCTTCCTGAGGACATTATTGAGCTCCTATACTAATTCTAGAACTGTGCACCTCCACACTCTGCATGTAAATTAATTAAGTGGTTTCACTGTTCATTCATTAAATGCCGAGTTGGGTATTCTCCAACCGGAAGTCAAAAGGATTTAAGCGTATTTATTTATTTGGAGAGAAAGAGAAAGACGGCACAAGCAAGGTAGGGATGGAGAGAGACGGAGAGAGACAGGGAATCCCAAGCAGGCTCTACGCTGTGTGAAGCCCGACACAGGGCTTGAACACATAAAGTGCAAGATGAAGACCTGAGATGAAACCCAAAGTCAGACGCTTAACCAACTAGCCACCCAGGCACCTCAGCTAAAAGGATTTTTAACTGAGAGAATATGTTGGTAGAAATATGCCTACAAGAGAACGCTCTGCCCATGTTTCGGAAAGCATTTAAATATACTTAATACCAACTGTGATATAAATACAAAGCAGTGTTAAAGGGAACTTTAAAACCACAACAGGGACATTTCTGCCAATGCCAGCTCTGACGTAGCCCTAGCATCCACTCCCCTCTTCATCTCCTTCACCCCACCCCAGTGCAAGCCCCGTCCCCTTGGGTCTGGACCAGCGTGACAGCCTCTCGACTGAGTGGACTCTGGAAGACTAGCTCTTCTCCTTATCAGTTTTCATCACAGCAGCTACAATTAAATTTTTAGAATCAAATTCCCTTGTTAAAATTATTCAATGGTTGGGCCGCCTGGGTAGCTCAGTCGGTTGAGCATTCAACTTCAGCTCAGGTCATGATCTCCCTCGCGGGTTCAAGCCCAGCATCGGGCTCTGTGCTGACGGCTCAGAGCCTGGAGCCTGCTTCTGATTCTGTGTCTCCCTCTCTCTCTGCCCCTCCCCTGCTCATGCTCTGTCTCTCTCTCTCTCTCTCTCTCAAAATAAATAAACATTAAAAAAAGTTAAAATTATTTAATGGTTTTAAATGAACTCCGAATAACATCTAAAGTCTGTCAAATGCCTGGATTCTATGTTACCTGCCTCCTGCCTATCTCACCCTCTTTCCTTAGCTAATTAGGTTAAATGGCCTTTTTCTGCCTCAGAACCTTTGTTGTGCTCTGTGCTAAAAGCTCCTAGAACACTCTTCCTACTCCTTCTCTACATCTACTGGACTCCAGCTCATCCATCTGAACTCCAATTAAAAGTCACCATCTCACAGAGGACTCCCTCACCTTTCTCACGGTAATCCAGTTGAGATTTTCTTTTTTCTTGTAATTCATTCTTTTCCTTCAGATCATTTAATGCAATTATCAATAAAATATTTTAACAGAAATAGATAAATACATGTATATTTCCCTTAGAGACTGTGAATGTCTGGAAGGTACAGCTGGCAAATTTTTCCTCCACCCAGAACCACACGTCTGGCTCAAAGGAAGACCTCAATCAATGCTGACTGAGGACTGAAAAGTAAAAGAGCCTGTCAATGATGCAAACATCAAATGGACTCTTACGGACTGAAGACATGTTAAGAAAGGATCTTTCAGACATCTTGATAAGCACAAGAAACAGGCAATGTCTTTATTTCCTGAGAAACATACATGCAGGAAGCAAAATCTTGCTGTGTGAGAATGGGCACACCTACTGGTAACAAAGCGTTTCTATGGCTAGTGAGAGTGGGGGCAGGGGAGGAAGGGGGCAAGGGGTCCCTTCTGTTTCAGGTGTTCCAACAAACAGTTGGTGGAATGCATCTGCAGAAATAAAAGAGAAATTGCTAATGAAGAGGAGGAGAAAAAGTGCTAGACACACACACCCAAATCACTAAATGTATTTCTTATCAACTATTGTCAACTGACACCATTGGAAAATTCATGAATTCCCCATTCTAATTTTTTTTAATGCTTATTTATTTTTGAGAGAGAGAGAGACAGAGACAGAGACAGAGAGCGAGACACAGAATCCAAAGCAGGCTCCAGGCTCTGAGATGTCAGCATAGAGCCCAGTGCGGGGCTGGAACCCACAAACCATGAGATTATGACCTGAGCTGAAGTCGGACGCTTAACTGACTGAGACACCCAGGCGCCCCGTTCATGAATTCCATTCTAAATGCAAGAAAATTATACTGGCACATCCCAAAACACAACAGGAAGTTGGTTAATTTTATGAAAAACGATCATTATACACGAACACAAAAATACACACACACCCCTCCCCCACCACCAAGAGGAAAAGAGACAAAGGCAAATATCAATACCGTAATAGTTAGTGACCCTGAAATTCACTAAAAAAAATTTTGTTGTTGTTGTTTGTTTTTTCGTTTTGTTTTGTTTTCTCATTACCTGCAATTTAACTGGCTCAGGCAGTTTCATTTGGAGCAGTCCTTCCTTGGGCCTCTTACCCCCTTTGGCTTCTTCTTCTCCAGCTCCTTCTGGCTTGGAGTCTTCCATGGAGGGCTCTTTCTCCAGAGCCTCAGTGTCTTCTTCCGGAGTGGCGGCTTCCTTGAACACACTGGGCTCTATCAGCTGCAAGATGTGTTTTAAGTCCTCATTGTGGAAGATCCCCATGATGAGCAGAGTATAGAAAAGCTTGATGAGAGGTACAAAGAGAAATTCAGTGGTGCCCCCCACGGGGTCCCGGGCATGCAGGCTGCCCTCTTTAACAGCTTCTGTCAGCATCTGAATGGTTTTGGCCTTCAGGATGTCCAGCGGGAACTCTGGACTGTATTGGTAGCATTCGTTATTGATGCTCACAAAACTGGGGGAGGAAAACTGTATCCGTGGCCTGAGGGAGGTGCTGAGGCCAATCCCCGGGAGGCCATGCTTTTTGTTCTCATCAGGGAAGAGGGTGATGCTCTTGGTCTCCTCCGTCATGGGCACGATGAACTCACTGTTCATCATGAGCCTGGCAGTGGCGTAGGAGCTCAGGTGGATGTCAATAAGCAGGTCATAGTAGCCGGCCCGCAGCAAACCGGGCATGTACTTGTTCTCGATGGCGTAGAGCAGCTGGGGTTCGTCCACGTGGCTGCACAACGCATGCGCCACCCGGTGGTTCCCGAGGGCGCAGACGGCGGAGTAAAGCCGGAGCGTGTGGTAGTGGAATTTCAGCAGCTCTTCCTGCTCTGTCAGCTCCAGTATGTCAACAGATCTGTACAAAGGAGGAGAGTGGTAGCAAGGTCAGGTGGGGAAAAGTTCTAAAAACTCTGCATCACAGGAGAGATCTAAGTACCTCATAAATTTCAAAAAGTTACGGAAACATATTTTTGTTCCTGATTTTCTATGACAGGTTTCATGATGGTGTGTTTTTTTTTTCTCCGTCAGTACTAGGTATTTTACAAGTTTTCCTCCATATGCAATTTTACGTGGGAAATTTCTAACCACTAGTGGTTGAAGCTGCTTCATCCTCCATCAATCACCCTCAGGTTTGGGGCACCTCTTGTAGACACTGAGTCTCGATCTGCACCCGTGTCTCCTTTCCTTTCAGAATTTGAGCACTCCTTAGAAAATCTTGAATCTCCTTTTCCAACTTGGCTAAGCTGCCCCAGAAAGCCAGAGACCTTTTCCTTAGGCTAAGTTGTCCCTGTCTCTGACCTATGATTAGTGATTCGCCTGACCAGTCGGAAGTAAGAGAATGGAGGACTAATGCTTCTGAAGTGATGTACCTTCTTACACATCCCTCACGGCCCCAGACTTAGACCAGCGCAGCCCTGGTTTCCATCGGGAATGTATGGCTTTGTGAAAAAAAAAAATACTATTTGTGATATTTTGCGTAGCAAAGTTTCTACTGGGAAGCTGAGTCTACGCTGGGCCATTTTGCTTCTAGAATGTATCATGCCCTTCCAACCCATAAAAAACTTAAAATGGCCAGAATATGCCTGAAGTGAAGCCATTCCTTTCAAAATGAAGTCAATTTTAAGAGGACGTAATTCCTTTCGATGTGCTAATGTTTCTACACTATTTATTTAAATTTATTAAGATTGCTCATGGGTGACACTGTAGAATTAAAAGTAGAAACTTGATATATTCACAATAAAAGGAATGACTCATTCATCTAGAAAAGTGTCCTTGGTGAGACTATAATATAAACTCATCAGAACACGGGTTATTATATGACTTCATTAATATTTGTCTAGCAGTTAACCTCATACACAGTAGAAGCTGAGTAATTACTTGTGATTATTTGTTGTTAAGCTCTGTCACCATCCTTCATACTCGATCATCCTGTCCATGCCCATCCACTGTGTCTATGCTTCCCGGGTCACAGGTATTCTATGAAAAGCCACTGTGGCTTGATGGTGCAAAATTATTCCAGACCCTACCGCCCAAATCTCAGCATCAGAAGCATTCCGAGTCGGAAACTAAAAGCAAATGATGACTCACCTAGGCCTCCGGGAAACCACACAACTGTGGGGCCCAGCTGCTAGCACCCAATTCTTGGGAAGGTATAACTGAGCAGGCCTTCTCTCTCAAAGTATAGCGGACAATGATTCTCATGTCTTACCTAGGCTCTCCAGGCTCTCAAGAAGACTATGAACCTGGCTGATGGTCAAAATATATAAACCTGTTCACCGTAGCAACACAGAACCTCTGCATTCTAGCTTCTTAGTGAAGAACACAACTTAGCCTACCATCTAATTCCTCTCAGACTGCCAGTTTCTAGAAAAAACAACTAAGGACTCCACAATTTACATTAGCTACTGCCCCTTCCAACCCACCTCCTATTATTCACTTTAGGGCACCCTGTTACTTCCTTTAAAGCACCTCTCTTCCCGACTAGACCATGAAATCTTTTAAGGTAAGGGTCCCATCTGTTTTGTACACCATTTAGTATCCAATGCCAGGGACACAATGAGAACTAATATATGTCTGGAATGAATGAATAAGAGAATTCTGGAAGGATCTATAGTCTCCATCTCATGACTCTACACTTAGGTCAGGGCAAACCAAAGCATATATCTCAACTACTTTAATCTGTCTTTCCACACCAACTCCTTATAGCAATATTTATACTTTAATAAGCTATGGATTTACTTGGGAGGATAGCAAAAGAAATAACTTGTTATTCTATCTGTTACAAGGACATTATTTTATCTGTTTAAATATAAAATATAACACCTCCTTAGCACACGCCATACTGTCGTTGGTAAATATTCTCCCTCTTCTTCCGTCTGTCCTATATATGGGGTAGTCTGATCTGCCCTACTTAGCTTGGGCTTGACTATATGACTTGCTTAGGCAAGTCATAAATAAAATAAATAAAATAAAATGTGAGTGAATGTAACATCTGCCACAAGCAAAAAGAAGTTCTAAGAGACCTGAAGTGTCTGTTAACCCTCCTGTACATCCACCATTGGCTGTGGAAACTGTATGTCCCAGATCAGAGCTGCCCCATCAATTTGGGTCTCAGGGTAAGAAGGAGGAAGTCTGCACTCAGAGCCCACCACAGCCTGGAGCAGAGCTACAGCGGACCAACAACCTCACGTAACGTGAGCAAAAGATTCACGTCTGTTCACAAGCCACTGAGACGTAGGGTTGTTACTGCATTAAAAGCTAATAAGATACCTTACACTCTTTAACAGTCCTCAATGGAGAAATATTTTTCATAAGTCAATATCATTCTTTTATACATCAAATATTACACAGAGGGTCTACTATGGATGAAGCACTGTGCACTGGTGATACGATGGTGCACAACATCGACACAATTCCTGCCCTAAGGGAGCTGACCATCTAGCTGAGGAGGGAAATCTTAACCAAAAAGTACGTAAATTATGAACAGTGATATGTGTCACGAAGGAACCAGAGAACTAGCATATGTGTAGTGCCATCCCAAATTGTTAAGTATTAATTATTGGCCATGTATTGGGGCATGAGAAAAAGCTTCTACTCAGCCACTAGTTGGCACATCCCTTTGTTATTCTGAATTTGGGAACTCATCAGATTTTTCTTTGGCTTCTAGGAAGCCTGAAGCCACTGTGGGACTTTACCAACCACACAGAACGATGTGGTATGAGTGACCCCGTGCCAGTCTCGCCCTGGGCTTTGTTATTTTCCTGTCCTCACCTTGCCTGCATATCTGGTTCTAGTGACTCTTTTTTGTGCAATTGTATTTCATACATTTTGGGAAAATGACTCAAACTCTTCATGATCTATAGTGAAAGTTTATTGATTTACTTATTTATTTAATGTTTATTTATTTTTGAGGAAGAGAGAGAGAAAGAGCATGAGTAGGGAAGGGGCAGGGAGAGAGGGACACACAGAATCTAAAGCAGGCTCCAGGCTTTGAGCTGTCAGCACACAGCCTGATGCGGGGCTCGAACTCACGAACCAGGAGATCATGACCTGAGCTGAAGTGGGACATTTCACCTACTGAGCCACCCAGGCACCCCAGAAATAAGATATTTTTAAGCTTCATTTTCTTTCCCCAGCAGCACACCTGAGCCCCCGGCCAATGGTCTAATTCAAAGGGCCCTAATCAGACGGTAAAGGGCACACAGGGCTGACCTGTTCTCCTCCGGGATATGGAGAGACATGAACTGCAGAGGATCCAAACACTGCACCAGCCAGCCTTGGCGCTCACTTATTCGAGACACATCTACCTTCAGGAACTGGTTGGGCATTCTGCTCCACAGGACGTGGGACAGAAACTGCACGTGGAGACGCGGGGGACACTGTGGCACAGGGTTTTTGTGCTCACTCTTGAATAATCCCGCGGAGAGAGGCATCACATTCTAGGGAGCAGAAAAAGAACTAATTTGTAACAATCCGTGGGGTTAATAACGTAATGACCACAGTTCTGCACAGGAAAGAGATCCTGGAAGCGAGATACCCTCTGTGTCCGGCAACGTTAATACAAGAAATAACAGAACTTGGGATGAATGGCTCCTGAAATGTCAAGAGGCGAAAACATCCTGAGAAAACACACCTATAATTTCAGGGCTGGCAAACAGGCTTGGGGAGCTAGATTTCTTTTGCAAACACTCCCTGGTACGCTGAGAATGCAGCTACAACCAAGTGGAACCACGTAATCTGCGTATTTTTTTTACCAAGCTGGGACCTCACCAAATCTGGCAAGCCTGTGGCTGTCTGCGGTACCAAACTCCAGGAAGGGTTGCACGCACTTGGCTCTCTCTCCTGGTCTGTCCTCTGTCGCCCACCTTATCCTTCAAGTGCTCACTCACTGGCTCCCTCACCTACAAGTCAGGTTTGTCAGGTTTCAGCAGCCAGTTCTACACCGGAGACAGCTCAACAGACAAACAGCACCATCACACAAGACAACAGAGTTCATCAGACATTAACACAATCTAATTGTTCTTCACCCTGCTCCAGCTTCAGTATGGATCACCTTCAGCCTTCTTAGCGCCTTCAGTCTGGTCTCAGGGCAACACAGGTCTCTACTTGGCCGAAGCTTATTCATTCACTCATGACCCTGACACCTCCTCCGCCTGCCCGTCATGGGCCATATGGAAACAACGATCTCACCTGTCCCATTACCTTCAGTGTCTCCCTCTCCCATAAAGTCTTGTCTGCTGCGTACTTTCAGACTATCTCATCCTCCAGCTACCTTCCTATTCTTTTCTGATAACAGAGAGGGCGGGGAGGAAAGCCAGATACTGCTTTGGGCCCTGAGTGAACAAAACACACAAAACCCCTCCTCTCATCCAGCTTCCATTTTTTTTTTTTTAACTGGAAACATAAAATAGACAAAGTCAAAAAGCAAATTAAATAGCCTATGACACAAGAGGTCATGGTGGGGACCCAGGATAGAGGAAGCAGAATGCAGGGCAGCAATAATAAGGAGGATGATCATAATGGGTACGGCTGAGAAGGTGACGTCCCTTCCATGCAGAAGGGACAGTCAATGCAAAGGACCCAAGGAGGAAGTCTGCCTGGCAAGTCTGAGGAAGAGCTGGAGGCCAGATCAATCGATCAATTGATCTTTCTGTCTATATGTTTATTCATCCAAATTTGCTGTCTTTCTCTAATTTTCAACCTTGAATTCACTATAGTATAGCTTCGTCCATCATTTTGCCCAAATTCTACTGGCAAGGTCAGAAGCCCTCCTAACCAACAGGAGTCATGGATTCCTTTCATCCATATTATGTTTGCCTTTCTGTGGCTGCTGAGCATCTCATTTTACAAAGGTAGACATTTAGCTCACACAGTTTAAGGAGCATGTCCAAAGTCACCGAGCCAGCACTGTAAAACCTCCCACCGCACTCCACCCCGACGTGCACCTGGCATCTCAACTTGTACAACAGCAAAATTCAATTCAGTTCCTTTTCCTGAATTTCAACAAGCTCTTCCGCTTGTTGTCTTAGCATCCCTTAGTTTGTCCAAACTCACAAAATTAATTTAATCCTTGATTCTTCATTCTCCTTGAGTACCTGAATCCAATACATCAACGAATACTATCTGTCCAATTCACTGTCAAATTCTATTCATTTATCCTCTAAAACATCTTCTCATTTACCCCTCTCTCTCTCCAACATGAGTTCTCAGGCTCTCATCATCTCCCATGCGGATGGCATCAAATCATCAATAACTCAGCACTACTGCCTCTTCTCATTCTTGTGAGAATGGATACTTCTCCACATTGCCACCTCCACATTACTGCCAATGTATTTTTCCAAAACAGGTTTGCTTATGCTCAGTCCCCAGCTTCGAGTTTCCAATGGGATCAACACTGCCTATACAGTAGGTACCAACCTCTTAGAGAGGCATTCATGGCCTTTCCAGGTTGGCTTCAGTCTACCTTCTATCAATGTTAATCTCCAGCCACATCCTGGAAGTCACCTTTTGTTACAGCCATATTGAATTCTTTAACCTTCAGCATTTTGACTCAAATATTTTTGCTTTCTCTTGCCCTTCCTCGGCCTAGGATGTCCTCTCCTACTAAGTGTATTCTGAGATCTCTTATTCAACAGTTATGAGTCAACCTAAATGTCTCCTCTTCTCTTTGCTTTACCCGATCCATCCCCCTCCAACCTCCACCTTGTTCTTTCATTTGTTCCTGGAGTATTCGATATGTGCACTATTCTAGCACTTACCACAATGTACCAGTTTCGTGTCGTTAAGCCCATTTACTAGCTCCCCTGTGAGTTCCAGATAATCAAGTGGTATGTTATTTGGCATTTTTGTTCCAAATAAGCCTAGTTTTATTGAGTAAAGAGAAAGCCTTTTTTGTTCTTCTTCTTACAGAATATTTAATAAGTAATTTAAATTGTGGCACAAACCCTTTCTAATAAATTAACATGGCCCTAGCCACCTGAAGGAAATTATAGAACTTTCAAGCATGGCTTACCTTTTTTTTAAAAGAGTCACTTCTGTCACTAACATTGCTGCTAAAAAAAATACTAAATTTATTTAAGGAGAAGTAACTGCTATTCCCTAAGAGGAAGACCCCAAACAGAATACCAGCAATGAATCTTTCTTACCTTGATTCTTCCCAGCTCAAACTGGAAAACATTGGGACTTGTAGCTTGGGCAAAAGCTGCAGGAAATAACTTTGTACTTGGCTCCACCTTAGATAAAGAAATGAATTTGGAAGTATTAGTCAAAGAAGGAACACCAAGAAAAAATATTTTCTTTATAATGACCAAGGAACACTTGACAGAAGGGGCCCAGACACTTTTGTGTTCTTTCAGATGGATCTCCTCTTTCAACAAATATTCAGGGTATTTCATTTCGTTATTACGCGAACATTTTTGGAGGCCTGTACTGTTTCCCCCGAAGGGCAATGTTATTATTCAAAGAGAACTAAAAAGGCCCAATTAGGCTCATTTCGGTTTTCATTTTCGTCTCTTTTCTAAGGTACTTTTCGATCTTCTAGAATGTGCTTTTTGTGCACGGGGACAAAACGCTTTCTTCCCAGAAGCACGCCACCATCCCTGCCCACGGACCTGGTAGTAGGTGCTCAGCTCCTTGCCGTTGGCGGTGAACGTGAGAAGCCCACTGGCAGCATCCACCACGCACCCGATCTCCAGGCCATTATTGTTGCGTCCTTGCCCTGGGCTCATGCTCTCGCCCGCGCACACCATATAGCAGTTGCTGCGTTTGATGCTGGATTTCAAAAAAAAAAAAAAA